AGGGGCGGGGTTGGAGGCGGAGTGGGGACTGGACGGGGTTGGGCCAGACACCCGCAGATTCGAGGCTGGAGTCAGGGTAAGGGTACTCACTCAAGATGATGAGTATGCCCAGGATGAAAAGGATCCCGGCGATGATGAGGCCTCCGATCCGCAGGGATTGGTAGTCTGTGGGCAGCAAGGAGGAGCGTGAATGCAGGGAGGGGAGGAGGAAGGATAGTAGAGGGGCAGAATGGGGAGGAAGGGGCAAGGAGGAAGGGTGGGGAAGAGGAAAGGAAATCAATGAGAGGAGGAGGGAGAGATGTGGGAGAAGGGGGATCAGGGAGAAGAGAGGATGTAAAGAAAAGGGAGGGGAGGAGGTGGGCAAGGCAAGGAGGAGGGAGGAGACAAGGGAGTAGGGAAGGATGATGGAGAGGATCAGGGAGAGGAGGAAGGCAGGTGGCAGCAGAGGATGAGCCAGAAAATACTAAGAGGTAAAAGGAGAAAGAATCAGAGATACAGAGAGGGATGAAATAGACAGAGACCAACAGAGAGACAGAGACAGAGGGAGATCAAGACAGAAAGAGTCGGAGAGCCAGATCAAGAGAAAGAGAGAGAATGAGAATGACAGAGACATAAACACTGAGAGTCTAGAGATAGATGGAGACAGAAACAGAGAGAGGTGGGGGGAGGGGAGGAATGAGGAGAGGACAGGCGAACCCAGCCCAGCACCCCCTAACTCCCGAAGAAAGGTGCCCCTCCCTCCCTCACCATAGGTGAATGGGTCGTGTTCCTGTGGCGCTTCTGGAAAGAGAGAAAGAAATCAGGGTCGGATGCTTCCTGGGATCCTGGACAAGGAGGGGCATAAGGAGACCTTTTGGGGGTTTTACATTCCTGGGCCGAGAGTCTGGGGACTGTTGGACCCTGAGCAGGCTGCCTACCCTCTCTGGGTCTTAGCTGCCCCGCTGCACTGTCCTGGGTGGAGCAGCAGGCACCTAACTGCCTCAGCTCTCCATCTCATTACAGGTTGTCTCTGATTCCGTCATTCACAGGCCTCCATCCCGCCCTCCACCTTTGCCTGATCTGGGGCATCCTCTCCCCTCCCCCAGATACCAGCCTGTGACTGAACCCCACGTGAGACCCCAATTTCCTGGTGCCTCAACTGACTCAGTTCAGATTGGAGTCTCCAACTTGCTTCTCTTGCGGGGTTTCCCCTACCCTTGCCACCCTTGGGGCTGAAGTGGGTAGTGGGCTGCCTTCCCCAGACTCACCTGCGTTGACCATGGCGAGGAGACCCACACAAAGAACCAAGATGTGGCTGAGAGATGCCATTGTCCTGCGGGGACAACAAGGGTCAGGAAACCTGTACCCTCATTCCCCCACCTTTGGGGCCTGAACTCTCTTCAGGGGACTGTCTCTGTTAAGTCAGAGACAGTCCAGGGACTTAATTTCAAAAGCGTCCATCATCCGGGCTGGTCACCCTGAGAAACAGAGGCACCCTCCTGCTTCACCGGGACACAGCATCACGAAAACAACCCACACCATGGGGGTCACAGAGCAGCAAGGACAGGGGTGAGACACACACACAGTCCACAGGGACCTCCCACAGGCCAGGGCCGTCCCCACAGCAGGCCCCAGATTCCCCATGCCTACCCTGGCAGGGGAGAGCAGGATGCCTTGCCCCACCCAGGTGGAGAGACAGACACACTGCCAGGGAAGAGGCAGCCAGGACATGCCCAAGGGCCCACCTGCCCGCACACCACAGCCTTGCCGTGTCCGTAATATCCCAGCTCTCCTGCCCTCAGCCGCTGGCCCGCTCTCTGCCTGACCCTGCGTATAAATATCTCCCATTTCACCCTGGAGGAATTTGCCTCGCACAGGCCACCATGGCAACAGCTTTCCTCCCCCCGCTTGGGGGTCACGCACAACGGGGTGAGGCTGGGCCGCCACATTGCCATGGGCTGCCCCGGTGGGAAAGGCCACCCGTTCTCTCCTGGAAGAGATGAGAACAGGGAAAACGTCCCCTTTGCCTGCCTCTGGGTGACATCTTTCATGAACGGACAACGCCAGGCGAGTGACCCGAGGCCCAGACCAGCGGGGCTGAGAGATAGAAGACAGATGCCAGGGGCAGGAACGCACGCACACATGCACACACGCGTGCGCACACACACAGTGGGGCTGGAGTGGAGACGACGCCCACTCCCTAAACTTCTGGTTGGAGCAGGACATGGGGTGGAGACCCAGGCACACATTACTCCTCATCTGGGCCTTCTGCACCCCCAAGCAATGACGCAACCCGACCTACACCCTACCCACGTGAGTGTCCAAAACCCACACCCAGCCAGGGTGCACGTGCCACAGCAGGAGCAGGGAGGAGCTGCACCCACACTTCCACCCCTGGGAGAACCCCAACGTCCCAACCACACTCCCTTCCTCTTGGGTCTGGCCTGCCTGGGAAGCCACTCCTGTTCCCAAAATAGGCAGCCCAGCGAGGCCAGGGGTGAGGCCTAGAGGGGAGGGGCAGGGGACGCTCACCCCAGTCAGGCTGTCCCCTGCCGAAAGAAGGCCCCAAACGTCCGGCTGTGCCCTGGGGCCGAGCACTTTGGACCCCCTGGCCCAGAGCTGGCCGCGCTGCCCTCAGCCGTCTCCCCTCCCCGCCCCACCCCATCCCTACCCTCCCCAACCGGCAGCTGTAACTGGAGCCGGGCTGGAGGGGGGCCAGGGGGCGGCCCCCAGCCCAGACCGCCCTGGCCCGCTAGGTTAACTCTCTCAGCTCAGAGGGAGAAATCCTAGGCAGCCAGCGGTGGGGAAAGCTGGGGAGAGGAGGTGCCAGCAGGGAGGACTGTATTACAGGCGCACAAACACACACACACACACTCACACGTGAGCCTCGGGCACACTTCAGAGGGCTTCTGAGCTGGGAGAGCAGGGTAGGTGTCAATGATTTTCCACGCTGCTCCCTGGGAATTGGGCCCAGCCTGGGCTTAAGGTCACCTGGCCTGAGTGCCTAAGAGTCCACTGACCCCTGACCCCAGGGTCCTGCGGGGCCCTTGTCAGCACCACAGGGCTGTTTGGAGGGCATTTCAGCATGTATGTAGGTTGTCTTCTACTGACTGTGAGGTCCCCCAGGGGTACACACCACACACACACACACACACACACACACACACACACACACACACACACACACAGAGAAGCCCAAAGACCTGGATAAACAGGCACAAAACAAGACAAATACATGCACGTACATACATACAAATTCAGAATAACACACCCATAGAGAAACCCAAAGACACTCACCAGCACTTCTTACACCAGTCACAAAACACCAAGACAAACACATTTGTATACACACAAAACACACACGTGTTCATTGAGATGGATGCCCGTATAGAGGCACAAAGACACAACCACACAACTGTGCACTCTTACAAATGGTCACAGAGATACACACTCTTGCGAGGACAATACTGACAAATGTCTGTACAGAAACACACCAACACATGCACACTAAATATAAATACATTCAAAGGCACCGCCACAGCCAGCACTCCTACACAATCTCAGGCATGTGAAGGCACACAAACTGTGTACATTTGTACACAGACACACACACACATTTATGTGGGCTCATGGAGAAGCAGAAACACTGTCAAGGACACAGGCATACAACCAACCACGCTGTGGTTTCATAACCATAAAAACAGACAGACAGACACACACACACACACACACACACACACACACATCCTCATGCACCGGCAAACAGGCACACAGCTGGTCATACAGTCGCAGACATACAGGCCTATGCTCTGTGTTCACACACTTGGAGACACCACCAAATGTGCACTGATGTGCTTAGCCCAGAACCTCCCCGTCCCTGAGCTCATGTGACCCCTAAAACCCCCTGGAGGACAACACACCTGGCGTCCTCATGGGCAGACCAGGTTACCAGGCACTGGTGACAGAGAAAAGGGGGATCAGCTCTGGGCTCTGCCATTCCTAGTTGTGAGAGCTCGAGCAGCCCAAGAGACCCCTCTGTGCCTTGGTTTCCCATCCTACAAAATGGAGAAATCACTAAGGTAATATGTATCACCCTGGGCCAGGCTCAGAGGTCTCTGAACCTGATGTTGTCTTTTTAAAAAATATGTATTTACTTATTTATTACTATTTATTTGGTTGCGCTGGGTCTTAGTTGCAGCTCAAGAGGTCCTTAGTTGTGGCATGTGGGCTCCTTAGTTGTGGCATACAAACTCTTAGTTGCGGCATGCATGTGGGATCTAGTTCCCTGACCAAGGGTCGAATCTGGGCCCCCTGCATTGGGAGCTCATTGGGAGCTCAGAGTCTTAAGCACTGTATCACCAGGGAAGTCCCCCTGATGTTGTCTTATTATTAACTCCATTTTAGATATCTACAAACCAAGGTTTAGCAAAGTGGAGATAATTCTCCCAAAGTCCCTCTGGTGGTTAAGGACAGAAACTGCCCCCACCTGAAAGAGACCTGGGCCCAGATACCACACTCTGCAGGACACAGATCAGGAGCAGGTAGACGTGCTCACACCCAGGCACAGGTGGCCCTGACACACACACGCACACACACACGCGCGTGCATATGTGCACGTGGTCTCAGAGGACCCCAGCAGCTTCAAAAGTCTCCCTCATGAGCCTCTGCCCCTTGTGGCCCTATACCCCAGAGACACCAGCAGTCCCTGGTTAATGATAACCCTAATATTTATGTAGCCCTGGGGAGGGATGACAGAGGAGCAAGGGGGGCCAGCAGGGAGGGCCGCACCTGGCTAGCTCTAGCCAGTGCTGGGGTCCCTCCCCTCACAGGGCCAGCTGCTCCATAGTGGAGAGGCCCAGCCATTTTCGGGCTGGGTGATGGGCCAATGACTTAACCTCTCTGTGGCTCAGTTTCTCCTTCTGTAAAATGGAAATGATAATACTATTCAACTCAGAGGGAGGTTGGGATGATTATCTGAAATGATCCATGGAAAATATTGAGAACAAAGCCTGGCACACAGTAAGTGATCACAAAAAAAAAAAAAAAAAAA